ATTTCCACCCTTTGTTGCAACAATGTTTACACATCGACCCATCCCTAACCTTCTTTAGGTGGGGTAGGTCCTGAAACCGAGCCTTTAGCTCATAGGACTGTCATTCCCATTTGCTCCCTTGGGGCGGGGATGGCAGACCAGAGAGGCCTAGCTTGTGGCTAGGCCTAGGGACAGTTGGTCCCAAAGATGAGGAGGCACTTGTGCCTCCTCCCATGGAGACTTAGGTCTCGGACACTCCCTAAAGAGGGAGCCAAGGCCAGGCCACCACTTGGAAAAGGCCCGGGCCGGGAGAATACCGGCTAATCTTTAATAATAATAATAATAATAATAATGTTTAACACATCAACACCATGCCTAACCCTTCTAGGGTAGGGTAGGTGCCTGAGCCTGAGCCTTTAGCTCATAAGACTGTCATTCCCATTTGCCCCCTTGGGGCAGGGATGGCAGACCAGAGAGGCCTAGCTTGTGGCTAGGCCTGGGGACAGTTGGTCCCAGAGATGAGCCAAGGCCGGGCCACCACTTGCAAAAGGCCGGGGCTGGGAGAATACCGGCGAATCTTTAATAATAAATAATAAATAATGTTTAACTAATCTGTTGAGTCCTCAACCTTCACGTCCATACTCAAGACAGCAAGGGTTACCCCGATCCTCAAAGGAGGTTTAAGATAGGTTATTTTGCAGAGTTCAGTGGCATATTTTATCTCCTCGGGGTGAGACATTAGGTCATTTGAGAGACATTTGAGTTCCTCAGAGTAGGTATCTGAGCATCCCCAAGGATAAATAAATAACAAAAAGGCACAATACCGTGACTGGAACGATACACAAATAACCCGCACATAAAAGACAGAAGCTTACGACGACGTTTCGGTCCGACTTGGACCATTGACAAAGTCACACTAACAGAGGAGGAGGAGGACGGCTATATATAGGCAGGAAGAGGTGGAGGTAGTAGTAGTGGTAATAGTAGTAGTAGTAGTAGTACAAGAATTGTATATAATACCGACAGGATGAAATGACACATGCACAACACCCGGGCATCCCCACCGTAGACGTTTCGCCATCCAGCCAGCCACTGGATGGCGAAACGTCCACAACAAAGACAACCAGACGCCGCACATGTGTCTAATTTCATCAGTAGAAGTAGTAGAAGAAGAAGAGGTAGTAGTAGTGGTAGTGGTAGAAGTGGGAAAAAAGGAAGACGAGCCAGTCAAATACAAAGGAAGGGGAGCACTGCAAGAGAGCTAGAAACCCACAGAGGGAGAGCAAGCGCACCGAGGTGCGTGAAAGGGGAAGTGTTGTGCATGTGTCATTTCATCCTGTCGGTATTATATACAATTCTTGTACTACTACTACTACTACTACTACCACTACTACTACCTCCACCTCTTCCTGCCTATATATAGCCGTCCTCCTCCTCCTCTGTTAGTGTGACTTTGTCAATGGTCCAAGTCGGACCGAAACGTCGTCGTAAGCTTCTGTCTTTTATGTGCGGGTTATTTGTGTATCCCCAAGGATCCAACCTACAACAGTTGACTAACATCCAGGTACACTTTTACTGTAGGTGAGCAGAGGCAACGTGTGTAAGGATTCCTACATATACATGTACAAGGTATACATGCCTAGCTGACATCAATGACATACTACTATACAGAAAGCCACTTGTTATGAAGAGCATTTTGGGGAAATTAGGTTAGTTTTGTCCCAGAATGTGACCCAAGCCAGTTGACTAACTACCAGGTACCCATTTTACTGATGGTGAGCATTAATAACCAGTATAAACATGCCAAATGTTTCTACTCTCGCTGAAAATCAAACCCAGACCCTCGCGGTGTAAAGCAAGAGCTTCAGCTGCCTGGCGATGGAACGCCATCCTCGATGATGCACTGGCATTATAATAACAATAAAAATTATATTTTCACAAGTACATGATACAACTCATACACTTCAAGCTGACATCACTGACATGCTATATAGTAAACCTCCAGGTTATGCAAATCTTTATGGGCAATTAGGTTAATCTTGTACCCTAGGATGCGACCCACACAAGTTGGCTAATACCCAGGTATCTACTTGCAGCTATTTGAACAGGGACAGCAGGTGTAAGAAAAGATGCCCAATGTTTCCACCCACATCGAGGATTGAACCATGGACACTCAATGTTTGAGCTGAATACGATACCAACCGAGCTACAGTAAACCGTGGATAACCCTCTGGGCTAAAATTCCGAATAAATCTTATCTTCAATGTATCATTAAGAGAAATTCCTCGAAGCTAAAGCGTTGTGTACTTAATATTGGAGGTTCTATAGCGCCTGGTGGAAATGGGAAGCAATTAGGCTCTACCTAAGGAAGGAAAAGATAGATCCATATACTTACATCAAAAGCCCTTCACCGGCATCAAGGAAACTCCTTGAAGAACATTACAACATAGAGATTTTTTGTAGTATGAAACCTAGCTTCATACTTGGTTAAGACCCGTAAACACTGTGTTGTTTTCTGCTGAATATACCACAAACACCAAAAAGGAGGTTATTGATGCTGGAGACCCCTTGATCCCCCCACCCCCCCAAAAAAAAATTGGTGTCCCAAACCCGCTGGAGGAAAATGCATATCTCATTCCAAAGTCTGAAAACCTCTTAGGGGTTTTTATTTCACAATAGTTTAAACCACTTATTAATTTGAAATTATTCCCCCAATAGCAAAAATTGGGATATAATTTTAAGACAATAGAAAAAATGGGATATATTTTTTTTATGAAGACAAGAAAACAAACCATAAAAAATAAAATGTTAATTTTTAAGGGGGGTCGCGAAAAGCAGTCCCCCCCTAACAAAATTTCGCACCGAGTTAAAAACTTTGGTTTTTCGCAGGGGGCAGCACCCCCGGGTGCAAGGGGAGCCTCGCCCTGGGAAAACCCCTTTCGTGATCACGGTATCCCTGTGCCCGGGGAAGTATGATTTCAGGTCCATGCTTTCCCACCCGGATGACTGCTCAACTTTTTCAAAGTCCTATTTTTTCCCGGAGTTTACCTGGGGAAGTTCCGGGGGTCAACGCCCCCCCGGCCCGGTCTGAACCAGGCCCCTGGGGATCAAACCTGATCAACCAGGCGTTTCTGCTGGGTGCACGCAAACCAAAAATACAGCCCAGCCCGCTGTCCGGAACTGACTTTAGGTGCTTGCCAGTCCAGCTTGAAGGGCGCCAGGGGTCTGTTTTTAATCCCCTTATTGTGCTGGGAGGCGTTGAACGTCTCGGGCCCCCCGAACTTTTGATGGGCTCTTTAAAGTGCTAGGACACCCCGCTTTTTCATTGGGGGGATGGTGCTCGTCTGCCAATCTTTTGCTTTCGAGTGGGTGATTTCTGTGCAAGTTCGGACTAGTCCCTCAGGGGGTTTTTCCAGGTGTATATAATCAGTATCTCCCCCTCCTGCGTTTTAGGGAATAAGGTTAGGAACCTAAGCGCTCCCAATAATTGAGGTGTTTTAACTCCGTTATGCGCGCCGTGAAAGTTCTCTGTACATTTTCTAGGTCGGCAATTTCACACTGCCTTGAAAGGTTGCTGTTAGTGTGCAGCAATATTCCAGCCTAGATAGAACAAGTGACCTGAAGGTGTCATCATGGGCTTGGCCTCCCTAGTTTTGAAGGTTCTCATTATCCATCCTGTCATTTTTCTAGCAGATGCGATTGATACAATGTTATGGTCCTTGAAGGTGAGATCCTCCGACATGATCACTCCCAGGTCTTTGACGTTGGTGTTTCGCTCTATTTTGTGGCCAGAATTTGTTTTGTACTCTGATGAAGATTTAATTTCCTCATGTTTACCATATCTGAGTAATTGAAATTTCTCATCGTTGAACTTCATATTGTTTTCTGCAGCCCACTGAAAGATTTGGTTGATGTCTGCCTGGAGCTTTGCAGTGTCTGCAAGAATTTTGAAAGTGCTGATCGAAAATATTTGTTCTTCAACAAAGTGTTTTGCGTAGAATAATGCATATTTATTGCAATTTATTAAAAATTTCTTACTCTCACTACTCACCCTTTATATCCACAAACCCTTTCTCAACAAGCAGATGAGTTCGACTATACAGCCCACTGTGTGAGCCGAACGTTATCAGTAGAGGTTCCTACTATACTACAGGGACACCAAAAGAAAGTTGTTTGATTTTTTTCGGCTTTCCTAGCTAACATACGTTACTATGTATGACAATTCGTTTAACTCTACCTCTAAATAAATAAACTTTCATTTCTCTCTCCTTGTCCACCACTCAGTAAAGCTGATGGAGGTCTTCCTCTACTTTACCGTTTCATTACATAATAAATAAATAATTACCAACATTTCGTCGCTCAACCTTTGGGACGAGCGGACGTGAGCTGAGCCTGCCCTCTGCTGTCAGCCGGTGACAACTTGGTTTTCTCAAAATGGAGCAGCCGGCAAGAAGAAGGGTAAACACTGTCGGCATAGAAGTGGTGCGTGGGGCTGTGCATGCCCACTCAGCTCAAGTTTTATTACCTGCCATCATCAGGGACACATACGGAATTGCCAACGAAGAGCTGTATAGTGTAGCCTTGAACGGGGCATATAGAATTTTTGTGAAGTTTCTCAATGCAAGTGTATATGAGGACATAGTCGCCAGGTTCCAAGATCTTTGTGTACCAGTGAATCCTGCAGTGACGGTAAGGCTACATGATGTGTCCCTGTAGTGATACTGGTCCTGTGGGGAGCAGCAGCAGGATAATACTGCACCACCTCTAGGGGCCCTTAACAACAACAACAGTTTGGTGTGTGTCATGGGCACCAACACATGGTGTGTGATTCTCTCCTACTTTATCCATTTATCAGCGATGCAGATTACATGGTGAGTTTAAATATGTGGCCTGTAGTTATAACTTTTCTCTTGACATATGCAAGACATCACCATCCCTGTAGAAGCTATTATTAGATGTACTAGTCATTATATTTTGTTGTTGCAGAAGTACTATGAAGATTCTATGTTCAATAAAGCCTAGAGATAAGGCCTGTGTTTCTATCACAACAGTCCCGCCATTATACGTGGGTGAAGATAAGAAAATGTACCCTTTGAGGCTAATGAGGCAGACCTACGTGCTGTCTTCGAGAAGTTTGGGACTGTTCATATGGCGACATTGGGGAAATGGAAGGAAGGATCGTATTCTGGGATGCCTGAAGGAAGTTTTCCTTAAAAATGAAAATTTAGGCATCCTATTCCTTCCTTATTTTTCCCAGAAGCTTTTAGGACTCAAGTAATGGTGACTTACGCAGGGCAACAACGTACCTGTCGATTATGCGGTGCCCATGATCACATTGCTGCGCAGTGTGTTAAACAAACCGGGTACACAGGCGAAGGAGCCACAAAGAGGCATCAGAATGGACGCATGAGACGTGGATTTGGCACGACCTGAGTCGGTTTCCTATGAAACAAGGCTGGAGTGTGGAGTTCGAGAGCCTTGAGGGAGGAAGAGTGGTAACTCTTCCGAGAGATACATGCACTGCCGGGCAGCACGAGACCAAAGATGTGGTGTCACTGGGTGAGGACAGGGCCGTGAGGCTACCATTGATTCATTCGCTCCACGACCTTTTAGGGACCTTCAGGAGAGGTACACAGGTTGAGGGTCTTGTGGTGTGCCCAGTATTCTTGCTGTGTTTCCAGGTGTTGAAGGAGGTGGGAAGGCATGTCAGAGACCCTGGTTGAGCTGGTTTGCAATAGTGCACGTGTAGGCGGAAAGTGCACGGGGATGGCTTCCAGTGGAGGCGGGGTAGAAAAGGCTCGAGTGTCCACGGAAGAGAGGCGCAGTGCCCTCAACGTGACATGTGGATGGCTCACGTCCGGCACAGCGTTCGGTGCAAAAAGGTGTGGGGCTGAAGAGGTTGAGCATGGAACTGGGGGGTCCAGGGCAAGGGGGCCTATTAAAAACAGATTCACAGAATGTGATTGAAGATCAAGGGCCGATAAAGGGAAGGGGATAAAGGGGTGCAATAACGTAAATGCAAACTTCCATTGACAAATTCAAGGAGTCTCTCTATAAATGTTTAAGGTCTGAAAAATTCAGGAAGTGTGAAATTGTTTCATGAGATGCCATAGGTATGTGTGTAGATGTAGTGGATTGTGCGCAAGAGCACAACCACAAGCCGGGTTGTAGTTTATTATTGAGGGTTATACGTATATAAAGCATACCACTCAACGAGGATTGAAAGGGGAGTGGCTATTTTGGTGAGGGAGGCTAGCCTGTTTACTGTACAACATGTGAGGAGTGGGGTGAGGGAGGGTTTATAAGAGTGATGGACATGGGATAGATGTAATATGCCTTTTGTGTGTGTTTATGGCCCGGCTGAGGGGGACAGTCGAGTGAAGAATGAGTTTGTACGTGAATGTGTTGTGTAACACTTAAGTCGCTTCCAGCATTAGCTGTGGAGGGAGGGGACCTGGAAATATGTCTTATACCCGCAAGGATTGAACCAAGGGGAGCAGGATATTGTTCTGGCATTCTGAAGGGACCTTTAACCATGTGTGAGGTTTGGTGGATGTAAGGTGGGGGCGGCGTGGGAGGTGCAGTCCGACCTTTTGTGAGGCAGGGGATGCTGCACGCTGTACAGATATATGTGACAAGAAAGCTGTGTGCGATGTAATGGTTTTGGATTGTCTTTTTTTTTCTGATCATAGAGGTGTTTTTTGTGGATTTGGGATGGAGAGGCGGCCGAACAGTATAGAAGGATTGGAAAGTGAAAATGTTTCGTTTGCTTACAAAGATGTTGAGGGGGAGGGTCCTAATTGCACAATCTGGAAAGGCTTAGGGCAGATGGAAGTCAATGGGGATGAGTTGAGATGGTGGGATGGTTGACGGCGAAGACAGAAGATTGAGAGTTCTATGTCCGAACCAGGGAAGGCACTAGATATCAGTTGCTTATGGCTTATAAGGTTTCTTGCAGGGGCAGTTAAGGAGTATCAGAAGAGGAAGGGGGGGATGGGAGCCCCAGTGCTGCCATAGAAGGAGTGACGGAACGCCTAATGGAAAGGGCAAAGATTAGAGGTGTGATGAAGCAAGGTTTTTAGGGGGATGGAGGAGGTCATGTGGGGTGATAAGACCATCGCGGTGTCCTGCGATGGGCAGGGCGCGCCGGCGCGTTGCAATTGGAAAATTTGGGTTTGAGAGTTCCTTGGGGACAATAGAAAGGGGTATAGTGAGGGAAAGATTTGGTGACAACGAGGGGATGGAGGGTATGTTTGAAATTCTTGGCTTAGTGCACATATGAGAGTTGTGGGTGTGAAAGAGGTGCTATAAGAGAGACAGGGGGATGGGTGCGGAGTGGTGCAGACAGGTGACGACAGGGGAACAGTTAACAGGGCCTATTGTGAAAAGGTGTGGACGCTTTAATGAGTATGAGCAGGGGTAAGGCACCGGATATATGGCTGCCTGTCGGAGTTTTACATACAGCATTGGGGAGTATTAAAAGATTATTGTGGTGCAAATATTTAATATCATAAAAGAAGGATGCTTGGGACTTTGCAGCGACAGCACTAGTAGTTTTTGGTGCCAAAGGGTAAAGTCAGTGCACAGTGAGAAGATATACCGGATGAATCACTCATGTGTGCAGACTCCAAACTATTTTTTGCAAAAAATTTAAGATAATTCGAAAAAAAAAGGTCATTGGAAAGGTAACAGTGGGGTCAAAATGGGGATTCCGGGAATCAATGTATGAAAGGGCATGGTTATTAGAAGGTTTTTATTGAGGGTCCACTAAGAGGGGGAAACGTGTGTATTGGCGTTGGATTGGAAGAACGGCATATGACAGTGGTCGAGGAGGTAGGCTTCTGTGCGAATCATGAGTGGCACGGGTTCGGGAGACATTGTGTATATTGGGCACGTTACATAAATAGTCGGTAAGCTGGGATGTTGTGTACAGAAAAATGGGAGGTGTGGGGTTGCATGTGAAAATGGGCAGGG